TTTTTTCTTTCCTTTTTTTGTTAGTTTGAGACTTAGCCGTATTTTTAGGTAATTTTGTTCATTTATATTTATTGTTGTTTTTAGTTAGTTTGGTTCATTTACATTTATTGTTATGTTTCACTAGATCTTGCTCTCTTGTTTGCTTATTTTGGTTGTCATTTGATTTCCCATGTACCTGCACTTTTCGGTGGACTGTGTCCAGCTCCAGGTACAGTTCGCCTTGGATTTCTTTAGACCTTATCAGACTTACTTCTTAATCTTCTAATAGGTAACTGACACAAATATCAAGTGCTTATTTCTTTAGATTGCCATATATAGCCATTACCACACAGAGGGACTTTGGACTTCCTTCTCTAGGCATCTAAAGCCAGCAGCTTCCTCCTCCCGGCACTCTTTGCCCCCTCCCATGCCGCTGGGCTCAGTGTTGAGAAACATGTTCATTCTCAATTCTCCTTTCTGGCTCTGAACCCAGCTTGCGTTCTCTCTTTGTGCTGATCACATGCATTCAGCAGCACAGTATGGAGACAGGAATGGAAAGAATCTGGGCCATGCTGTCATTCTGGGCAAGTCTCAACCTATGGCTCTTATCTTAAAATAAGTAAATAAAAAGCTAGTATACGGAGGAAGGATTAAATGCACAATGCGTGAGGCTGTGCCGGGCACCTGCCAACTGTTCGATAAATATTAACCTCCCCCTTGTCCCTTGCTGCTAGTGCTCTTAGTGGCTTTGCACACAAATGGCTTGTCTCTGTTCTGTCACACCTGACCTTGCGGGTCCTCTGGCTAGTCATTCATCCCCTTGGTGGTATAGTAACTTTTTAGTTTTGTTTTTAAATTGAGGTGAGATTAGTTTAACATAGAATTAACTACTTAAAAACATGCAGGTCAGTGGCGTTTAGTGCGTGGGCAGTGTGTGCAGTGCTGCCATTGTCTGGTTTCAAAACATTTCATCACCCCGGAGACAATGACTATGAGCACGCCAGTTTAGGCAAATGCTATCCTCTGCAGCCTTTGTTTGCCTGTGTTGAAGATGAAAATAATATTCATCTTTTGGGTTTTCTTGACAGAGAAGGGGGGATTACTTCTCCTCGGTCTCCTCTCAGGATTTTGGGCATGCATGCACATATGCCTGGAGTGATTTTCAAGCCTCTGGTACTGGGATTCTAACTGTGGTCAGCCATGTGGGAGTCCAGCACCTTAACCACCGTGCTCCATGGGGGCTGGCCCCGTGGGACTTTTTAAAAACACCTTTATTGGGGACCAGCAGTTAGTGTGATGGCTATGTCACTGGACTCCCATGTAGTCTACCGCGGTTCAAGTCCCGGACCCAGTGACTTAAACTCACGCCGGGTACACACCCATGTGTGTGTGCCCAAGATCCCGAGAGGAGAATGGAGAAGGGATTGCGGTATGGCCATCCGCCCTGGGCGGTGATTTCTCACTTTCTGTCTCTCTGTCTCTCTGTTTCTTTGTCTTTCGGGCAAGCACATGCACCCTGTAGCAAAAAAAAAGACCTCTCAAAAAAACCCAAAAACACCTTTACTGGGGTCAGCAGATGGCATAGCAGCATAGCAGTTATGTTGCTGGACTCCCACATGGTTGACCACAGTTCAAGTCCTAGACCCCATGGCTTGAAACTCATTAAGGGCATATGTGCGTGTGTGCCCAAGATCCTAGAAGGAGAATGGAGAAGGGATTATGGCATTGCCATGCCCTCCAGGGGGGTGTTTTCTCACTTTTTCTCTCACTGTCTCTGTCACCAGGGAATGCACATGCCCAAAGGCAATAGCTTCTTTAAAAATAAAATAAAATAAACACCTTTATTGAGATATAATCTATATACCACAAAATTACCTTACTCTAAGTGTGTAACTCGTGACTTGGTAACTTTGCAGAGCTGTGTAATTACCACCACAACCTGGCGTCGGGGTGTCTGTCACGCCCTGTCCCAGCGCTGTGCCCATCCCTAGCCCTGGTCACCACTAACCTACTTGCTGTGTCGTTGACTTGGCGATTGGGACATTTTATGGAAATGGAGCCGGGCGGGCGGGGCCTTTCCCGCTGGCTTCTGTTCTGCAGCTGGTCCCTGATGCAGCGTGCGTCCGCACCTCCCTTTTCTGGCTGAGTAGTACTCTGGGGGAGCAAGACCGTGTTCGGGTCAGCCACGTCTGTTGGCGGGTACCGGGCTTGCTTCCACCCTCGGCTGACTCCATTGCCGCTCACACTGTGGGCGGACGTGTGCGTGGGGGTGCACGTTCGCTTCTTGGGTAGCTCTCCAGGTGGGACTGCTGGGTCTCACTGATGGGCTCTGAGGGTTACCTTGCCGTGGTGCGTGTCTCTGTCGTAGCCCGTGCCTGGTACCCACGAATGCTTCTCACTCTCGTTGCTTAGACTAATTCCACGTGGACTTTAAAAAATATATTATTTAATTTTATTTATCATTATTAGTATTAATTTTTAATTTGACCAGAGAGAGAGAGAGGGAAAATGAGAAAGCAAGCTGCCAGGTCTGGGGCTCAAACTGCAGTCAGTTATGTGGGAGTCCAGCGCCTCAACCACCACGCCCCCTGCTGGCCTCCTCCACGTACACCTTTATACGTGGATTATTTTCTGACCTTCAGACTTACTTATATTTTTGGTAGCTTTCTCTGAACGCCTGTCACCACCGTGAACTTTTTTGTTTATTAAAGTCTTATGATCCACACACTGATTTGGGGTTATCTGAGAAGCCGGGTCACCCTCTCCTCTCATTCCTGCCTCAGCACTTCCTGAATTCCAACCTGCCTCAGCACTTCCTGGATGCCGAGGCATATCAGGCCTGCGCGTTCTATGTGGGTAAAACCTTCGTACCCCAAGAGGAGACTGACTGCACCATTTTGCTCATTTCTGTGACCCCATAGCCGAGCGTCTGCGTGCTGAACGGATGCAAAACCTCAGTTAGTGGGTACAGTTGGAAAAGCCCACTGCGTGCCCAGGCTGGTCCCTCAGAGCCAGGACCCCAAGGAAGCCAGTGGTGGCTGGAGCTGGCTCGTACCAGCTCACGAGGGACAGTCATGACTGTCTCTCTTTCCATGGGTGGTGACATATGTTGATTGCCTGAAATCAACCATTATGGGAATATTTACACCATGGAAATGGGCAAAAGCTACACATCAGAGCCTTCTCATGCGTCTTTTCTCTTTTGGACAGCCTGGTGTTAAATTTACCAGCACACCTGCCAGCCTTTCCAACTTCATTTGCTGTTATTCTGACAAGATTTGCTTTTTCTAAGTGTATTTTTTTATTTCGAGGCGGAGGGAGTCATGCCATGAACCGCTACCAGCCTCAGCCAGGTGGATCGCAAGCTTGTGCGTGGGCACCCTGTGTATACAGGGAGGACCTAGGACACGGACACAGGACCTTCTTGGCTTGGTCCGTTGCGTTAACCACTGTGCCACCATTTGATCCATACAACAATGTTTTTTTTTTTTTTTTTTTTTTTTTCCCCTTAAGGGGGG